TTTTTTTTGTTTGTTTTTTTAATCCACGGTAATTTAATTTCAATTTAGTTCAAAAAGGTAGAATGCAATCCGTTATGATGACTCTTATAGTGATTGATTGTGTGGCTCCATGGGGCACCAGCATGTATATGATGTGTCGACTATCTCAGTTAAGTGCTGTAGGCCTGAACTGGGAGATTCAGCCTTGGGAAGTTGCAGTAACTTGAAGTCGTAAGTTGTAAAAGAGCTGACGGTTGGTGATTACAAGAAACTCATGCGGGCCAAAAAGCAATCAAATCCACACTGCCCTGTACTCTTACACATGGCTGACATCTGCCTGATGAGGAGCTCTGCTGTCCCGCTGGGTAAAACGGGACATAATGAAGGAAGCGGGATGATTAAGAAGAGATGGGAAGTACGACGTGCAACCCATTTGTTGGTGTACATCACAATTGCGGCTAATTAATTTGGTTGCTGCCTTTCTCCTGACTGGTGACCAGTCCGAGGTGTAATTTTCCTTTTGTCGGAAGTCAGGTTCCAGCTCCACACCACCCTGAAATGGATAGATGGATAACATGGTTGCTTACTTCCAGCTCTCGCAATGTTTTTTACGTCGCTGGCGAAGAGGGAGCCTTTTAATCAAACCTACAGCCTTTCAAACATGCACCGGCCCTTTCTCAGCCAAGCCATTTCAATTCCTCTTTTTTTGCAACCCAAATTTTTAACTTTTTGTTTCCTGTTAGTGTTGTGGTTGGTATCCATGAAGCACTTTACGACAAAATCTGCCTTTAAGTCGGCATGATGATATAATCTGAACTAATGCCCAGCAGTGTGCATGAAGACTTGAATTAGCTGTGTTTACAGTGTTATAGAGTCTAAAAATTGCCACACGGCTCTGCTTTATTTTATCTCATGAAGTGTAGAACTCAGACACTCCGAATCTCAGAATCTTTTCATGCCTCTCATATTTTCCATTCCTCCCTCCTGCTGCCGCTTTCCATGTCCTCCCTCTTCTCCGGCTTCAATCGAGCATCTGATCACAGGCTCGGGAGAATGGGGGATAATGAGATTAGGCCTGTACATGTTTACACATTCTGATTTGCATTGAGCTTTTCCTGTCTCTTAGTCTGACCCACATTCTCTTCTCCTGGTCTGTGCTTTTCATGTCTCAAGTCTCTTCCTCTCTCTGGTTCTTTGCTTGTGTTGCAGCAACGGGGTTACATGCATGCGGGGAAGGTATATTTTGTTAACGAAATAAGTGGTGCTTCACACATTGCGCCAATGTGGTTTCAGTTGATTGTAGCTTGTCGGATCCACCTGAGCTCTTGAGTCTATGCACTCTAAGCTCGTCCGTCAGTCTCCTTGTTCAGCAGAAGATGCAGCTGCAGTGGTATTGGTAGTGGTGCTGACCTTTTGATGGTGGGTAGCATGCAATCATAAGATGTATTTGATTCTCAGAATGTGTAGTACACACGCACTGTGCGCAAGCAAAACAGCTAATTGCAGCCTCCTTTTTGCCACCCGATGGTCTGAGAGCTGCACAACTTCAGAATTTCTACACACTGAAGCTTTCTAAATGGAAAAGAATCATACTGTTGAGACTAGAACTAAAGCAACCAGCAACACTAGAATCTCGGGTTTCGACTGCGAACCCTTAGAGGAAATTCAGTCGATAAATTTAATTACAAGAGCTTACCAAGAAGGGCTTTATGATGGACATGTGCCATTTCTGGGGATTGGGTTGCATTGCAGCCATTTTACTAGTACATTTTTTTAAAGTCTAAATGTTATATACAGTCTAGTACTGTAATTAAATTGTGCAAATGCTAAAATCAACAACAGGGAATTGATTATGCCTAATTTGGTAACAATTGCATTCTGAGGCTATCAATCTTGTTTTACTTCACAGCTCTTCCACTGGGTATTAGATAGAGCAGATGTACCTAATGTTACTGGCGGTCACCTCATATGTTCCGATTTACAACTGTCAGGAGTTCCAGAGTGCTCCAGGACAGAATCGGATTCCACTAGCACAGACACAGATAAGAGCTGACAAAAATGTTGATTAACAAAACACAAGACCGACAAAGTACAACGAAAGGCGCTGGTAACAAAGAATCAGGATAAAATGAGACAGACGCTTGCAAAATGGAAGGACAAAAGATAAAAGCAAATCACTTGTCACAAAAGGAACCACGGAATCCAATACACGTATGGTACACACCGAGAATATCAACAAGAGCTACTGACTAGTACAAGAAAAATACCAGCAAAACGTGAAAAGCAAACTATGAGGCAAAAATCATGAGTCTAGAAAATGCACACTTGGAACAAGAGTCATGAGCACAGCTGAATAATCTGACAGCACGTTGTTGGTGCGACTCTTCTTTTTAAGGCCATTGATTGATGGTGAGATTCGTAACAGGTGCGGCTCTGGAGGGAGTGCGAAAGGTTAGTGTTTGTCTATGTGTACCCTGCGATTGGCTGGCATCCACTTCAGGGTGTACCCCACCCCCTGCCTGATGACACCTGGGATAGGCTCAAGAGCGCCCTCGACACTTGTCAGGGTAAACGGTTCAGATAATTGATGGACGGACGGTATTATTGTGCACAGTATAATACGCCATGGCAGCACGATGGTCGACTGGTTAGCACGTCCGCCTCACAGTACAGAGGTGCAGGGTTCGATTGTAGCTCAGGCCTTCCTGTGTGAAGTTCGCACGTCCTCCTCGTGCCTACTTGGGTTTTCTCCGGGTACTCTGGTTTCCTCCCACCTTCCAAAAACATGCATGGCAGGTAAATGGAACACTCTAAATTGTCCCTAGTGTGAGTGTGGATGGTTGTTCGTCCGTGTGTGCCCTGCCATTGGCTGGCAACTAGTTCAGGGTGTCCCCCGCCCACTGTCTGAAGACGGCTGGGATAGGCTCCAGCACACCTCCGACCCTTGTGAGGATAAGCGGATTAGAAAATGGATGGATGAATAATGTGGTATATCATTTGTTTGGCAGAAGTTCCACCTTTTTTGTTTTGCCAGCATTACATTATTCTTTAAACCATTTTTGCTCATGTATTGCTTGATTCTCATTTAAATCTGCAAGAATCTTTTTTTTTCTTCCTAACACTACACAAAAATACAATAGAAATCGAACTCATCAGCACACATGCACTATTTCCATCTTTGCCATGGTATATGTCTGTAGAATATGTACTCCACTTCTGATCAAACACAAGGCAAGCCAAGTATGACGCTCTTGAGCCTAAACCAACTATTCATTGTGATATACACTGGTTTGAGCAGGCTTTGCTGTAAAACCAGAACTTATCTTTCTGCATGATTGCCGCATAAAAGGAGCTCGTGCAAGCCAAACGTTTATGACAGCTGACAGCAAGGAGCATGCTCCCAAGCAGAGTTGCTACTCGAGCAGATAACATGAACACAGTGTTATGGAAGCAATTTTTCAAAGGATTGTTTGACTCCGGATACCTCTTAAAGGCTCTCGACACGTCAAAAGCTATAGCTTGTCAAGTAAACTTGCACACATGTATTAATTTGACATCATGAGACATTGGCATTTAATGCTAGTCAAAGACTGCATCTGCAACATGCCACATCTCACTTCATTACTCGGGAATTAGGGTTATCTATGTCATAAAGTATGATTTTATTTACATTGTGCCTGTTAAGTGAGTGACATTTCTGATCCCATTTTAAAATATGTTTTAAAACTTCGTAGGTTTTGTAATGAAATGAAAAGAGGCCTCCTGATTTTGAATTGTGCGTGCTTGTGTCGCACAGGTCCAAAGTCAAGTCGGTGCATATTATATGTTACGAGTTGCAAATACACTTTGAGAGATTATTGTGCAAATGTCAAAAAAAATTGTTTACTATTAGTATCTTCTTCAAGTGGTATCGTTGATATTTCAAATACCTGTCAGTAACAAGTGTAATACCTGTCCAAAGCTGGTAGTAACCATCAAGGACATCGGGCTTGGCTCCAGGCTGTCTATTGTGAAGCCGGAGGTGAACAAGGTAGCGTGTCAATAATAAGAAGGTCTCTGACTTCCATGGGCTCTGCGCAGAAAATGTACAACAGCATACATGTGTACAGTCACACGCACGCACGGGCAGTCACAATTCAAAGGTCATGGAATGTTTGAATTAGTTTGAGGATTAAATGAAGTCACAGGAAATGAAACTGAAATACAGGACCCATTGATGGTCCTTTTTCTTGTTTTATAAATTTATGGGATGTATGGCAATTGGAACTAGAGGTTTGGTCAATGTCCAAAACTGAAGTTTATTTGACAAATAAAGGCTATATTATTGCAAACTTGCTGACAGATTAAATCAAAACAAACACAACATAGACTAACCTCTTTGGCTGCTCTGATGGAATACTGTGGGAATGGATTAGAAAAAAATTAAATAAAAAAACACCAGATTTCCACCGATTGAACAAGATATTTATTATAACACTCTACTCTCAATACAGTTGAAAGAGATTCATGGTGAACAGAACAGCTGAGAAGAAGATCAATTTCTTCTTTGTGCTCAGATGTTCTGAAAAGAACACGTACTATCTAGTGATGGGCTATTGTTGAGCAATGTGCCCTTGATCAGCTTTTGCCTGAGAGGTGGGGGAGGAAATAGGAAGACATGATGCATTTCCTCTCAACACTTGCACCGGTCATTTGTCATACAAGTATGCATCATATGCGTGTTCTTCCTGGACAGCTGTGCAGGTGATGGGGGTGACTGTAATTTCATGTGGAATCTATCTCAATGGCCCCTCAGCGGTTTGGGAACAGTGTCAGGTCCAGTCTCTAAAGGCCGCTTTGTTTACTGTCAACAAGCTCAGTGGTCCAACCTGCTCTCATTCTGTCACCATGTCTGTGTCCCATGGCAACAATTCATCACACCTTTCTCTCTAAAGTGTTTACAGGATAGCAACAACTTGACTGTTGTGATATTTCAGTCAGCCAACTGGCATGAAATTGATTTGGAATGCTCTAATCTACAGGATGGATGACTTTGTCCTTCCCACCCTGACGGCTTTACATACCTCTGGCAGGAGAAGCTGCAAGTGATCGTGCCGCATTGAGGTGAGTTTTGTGGCAGTGGGCATGGGAGTGCAAGAGTTAATGCAATTTTGATGGCACAGCAGCAAACTTCTGTTGACTGCCTTCCTCTGACTGTATTTCAGGTTTTTATTAGTTGTTCATTTGCTTGAGCCTGCTGAACATTACTCCACTTTTATTTAAGGTGCATCCCAGCGGCTAATGTGTCTGCTAAATCATTGTCAGCTGTGGCCCGGCGTTAACTTGCACAGTCCCAGAGTAAACAAACAAAATTAAATGTTGAATTTACAGAGGCTGAAGTTGCTGAAGTTTGTACAGACCAATATTAACTGTCCAGGTTTGCCAGACTAAAATGTAGTTCTTGTCTTCCGATCATATCAATGTATGTTGTGTTGTTATGTGTTTACTGGGATAAACCAAAGTACTTTTAAAAATCCAAAATATAAATGTGTCCGTCCATTCATTTTCGATACAGTCTGTCCTCATCAGGGTCATGGGCAGTGGCGCAAATATTGACCGGGGCTCAGACTGCATGGGAGGGGGTTGGGGGGGGCACGACGCTGTCCAGAACCTCGGGGCGGGTCAGTCACGCTGAGTGGCTGGTGTGGGTCATGATGAGTCATAATGAGATGACGTGGAGCGAGCAAAAAGAAATGACAACAATTTGCAAGATGAGGTTAATGTGAAATTTACTCAAATCGACTTGTTTTTCTAATCAAAGCCAGGCAAAACTTCACATTTCACCAAAGTCAAATAGTAGCTTTCTAGCTAGCTCAATCACTGAAGTGGCATTGACCCAAGCACCGCGTCCCACTTCTCCGTGCGGTCAAAGGAGACCGTCACTGTCAGATATGTGAGTACTTCTATTTGTTATGAAGTGGAATTGGTGGAATTTAAATCTATAGCAACCTATTTGTTGTTGTTGTTGTTGTTTTTTTTTTTGGTGCCGGACCTTTTTGCATATATTCAAACAGATTTAAAGTTTGTAAATCAGAATATAGAGTACTGGAACATTTTTTGTGACATTGTTAATGTTTAATACACAAATCACAATATTACAATTGGACGCCCCTCAAACATACTGTACATGGTGACAATTGCAGGTCTCTCGAGTGGCTGTGCATCCAAGCATGTGGCTGAGTGCATCCATGCATGTTCTTGTGTTTTGGCAGTGGTCTGTGCACGAAAAAAAAAAAAAGTGTACAGGGCCCGATCACCATGTTGTTACGCCTCTGGTCATGATTGAGCTAAACTGGTTGCCAGCCAATTACAGGGCACATTCAGACGAACAACATATGTCCATTCACACCTACAGAGAACTTAGGTTCTGAAATCAACCTAAGCACCGGAATATTGGAGGAAGCCAGTATACCTGGAGAAAAGCTGTGCAGGCCTAGGGAAAACATCCAAACTTCACATAGGAAGGCCTGAGAACTCCAAACCTCTCCACTGTGAGGCAGAACTGGGTGTTAACCCAGTAAAGCACGGTGCTGCTCTAATCTACAGTAGGGATGTAACGATATCCAAACTTTATGTTACGATATCACAATATGAACCTCACGATACGATAATTGTCACAATATTGTGGGGAAGTTGGTAATATAAAATAACCTCATGATACTGTATAAAAACTCACAATATTGTCACAAAACTCATTTTGAAAGAAAGAAGCACAATATAGTGTTTTGTACATAACAAAAAGAAACAAAGAAATAGGATGGGGCAGTCATTTTCTCTTGAGTCTCTTGAGGACTTGCACACTGCAAGAACCAAGACAAGGGCACAGAAAATCCTTCTGGACCCCCCGCACCCTGCCCACCACCTTTTCCAGCTACTCCCCTCAGTCAGGTGCTACCAATCCATGTGCACTAAATCCAGCAGACACTTAAACAGCTTCTTCCCTCTAGCCATTAACTCCCTAAACAGTAACTCAAATCTACCTGTATAGTGGCTCTTTGCAATTTTGCACAACCCTGTGGAACAGCATCCCGTTTTAGTTATTGTAGCTCCAGCTCTGTACTCACTAGAACCACTGTCACTGATCTAGATTCCGCAGCGCCAGACACTTTGAAGCGCTCAAGGACATCTGCACAATTGCACACTTGTTGTACTACAAATACTGATACTGGTCACTTTAAAATGATTCAATGATTTTCTGCACCAACTGTACAACTGTCATCGTATTTTATTCTACCATTGATCACTTTAGCTCTGCTTGGTACTTTGCACATTGTCTCACAGTTGTCACTAGGTGGTACCACTGCACAACAGTTCACTTACATTACGGAATGTCCTTCTATACTTGTTGTCATGTCCTTTTTTATGATGATATTAGTGCAGCGTGTTCTACCGGAGACAAATTCCTTGTGTGTTCTACATACTTGGCCAATAAAGATGATTCTGATTCTGATTCTGATTTTATTGTCAATTGCTCTTATTCACTCAGCGGCGCAAATGATCATGGTCTATGTTGTTCACATTGCGGCCTTTGGCTGTTTACATGAATAACACTTAAAGTTGAGGCACTTACTTGCTAATGCACACACACATTGTGGATCAAGTCGATTCGCGATTAGCGCAGGTTTAAAACGTAGGTGGCCAAAACATGCCTAATTCAAGTTAAACTGTACTAATAAAGCAACCACCAGAGGTTGCTAAAACTGCACAAATGGAAAATAACCTGGCCTAGTTAAGAGATGTCGTGCTTTTAATTAATATCGTGACATGACAGCGACAGTTTCATGGCAATTTTAATAGCGCACTACCGCGATATTGGCGTTATATCCCTAATCTAAAGTAGATCTTATGAAATCCAAGGGGGGTGGGAGGTGAGGGATGATCCATCTGCAAATGTGCTTTTAATGGTTCATTGAGAAATAAGATTCTGTATGATGCAGTACAGTTTTACTTCACTGGAGACTATACACAATGAGAAATGATGATGGCAAATGGCCTTTCACTTGTACAGCTCTTTACTACCTGCAAAGGTACCCTATGTGCTTGAACATTTACCCCAGTGGAAACTACGGTGATAAATAATAATGGTGAGATGGTGGGGAAAAAATGAAAAGGCGTGATGTCCGTGTGCCCGTCTGTATTACATAGTCAGTTAGGCACAGTTAAGAGTGTACTGAAATCAGTGAGACAGATGATTTATTAATAATGCTTCAGGACATTCACCACACACACACACACACACACACACACACACACACTTGTTTATTTGGCCACACCTTTTCTGCCACATATCTGAAAGTCTTGTTGTGATTTGACATCAATTCACAAGTCACTGCATTGGAACTCTGCGGTTAAAAGGCTTCTGTTTTTGATAAGAGAGAAATGTCTGGTATTTGGCATGAGCAGTCGTGAAATCTTAAAGGGGGAACAGTTTGGAGTAATTTCTCCATTCTTCCTTTCAACTTGCCTTTTACAATCTATAAAACCGCACTGCCTCTTGGAAGGAATGTTCAATGCACCTTCATAACTCTGCAGGTGCTTTAGGTTCTGTGGAAAAACCACCAGACCAGAATATTTCCCTCAAGGTCCCGAGTGTCTCAGCAACTTGCGCAGCAGGTGACTCTGAAGGCAAGTATATAGCACACAAGTGTTCTATTTTCATAAAAAAAGTGAATTTAAAAACACAAGAGCATTCAATGACTGCAGACCTTTACTCAAACTGTCCATTCTCAAACGAATTGCCACCGAATTGCATTGCAGAATAGCACCCAACATGTCAGTAAGAAAAATGTATCATTCATTCCTTTTCAAATTCCTTTTTTTTTTAAACATGTTTTTCTCAGCCCATTCTTGATAGGGCCCATCCATCCACAACTTTTCTAATCCTTCTCTTAAACAAACATTTAATCTAACGTTTACAGACTGCATTACAATCTCATTGTGAGTGACACTGTCCAGAGCATTTTCCTTGTGAGGTGCTTCAAATATACTGTATATGTGTGTATATTACACATTGCAACAGCCAATTATATTCATATTGTTAATACTTGCTATCTGGATAAATGCAGTATGTGACAACCATGGAATTATGGGATATTAAAATGTGCAGTGCTAGACAGAAAAAAACGCCATCTTAAAAGTGACTTAGAAGTCCATAAACACAAAAACAGAATTTAACACAGGTATTGCCAGCCTCATAAAATCATACTGTTGTCCAGTTAATCCAGCAAATTAGATCATTAAATGACACAACAATTATGAATAGTTTATTCTCACATTCATATCTGTGATTATTGTAATTACTGCCTTTCGGCCTGTTTTGCATTTTGCACAAGATTTCTTCTCTTTTAAGTCTCATTATTGCCCAGCTTTGCATCATTCTACACAGCGAAAATTCAGGTTGTTTGTTGGATTTAATTCAATCCTGAAACCTGGAAACCCACGCTACTTCATTTTGAAAGCTGTGCTCGGTTGTTAACTGACCCTAGGACAGGTGAATAAGTGAGGCATTTTACATTGCATTGTGGCATGAATATTGATGCTCACTGTACCATGTATAGCTCTGGAATATAATATTATGTACATGGAGACTAAAAAGTCTCATGCCCACACACACCGTGTCTTTCTCATCATTTCATTTGTGTTCTTAGATACCCTGAATTTAAGTTTCTTATTAATTTGCAACTATGCCTTTTGTCGTCACTAAACAAAGTGGGGAAAAAAGTGACAGGCCTGCCTTGACAATGTACAAAGTAGAAACTCCAGTAATCTTTTCTGAAGTGAAGAGGAAAAGTAAAATGCTGTTAGAAAAAAAATGAAGTAATTTACTCAAGTAAAAAGTAAAAGTACAGATGCACCTGAAAAGTCTGTGTATGTGTACTTCGTTACTTCCCACCACTGCGAAACACGGCCTTAGGAAACAGACGTGGTGTGATTGCTGTAGTTGTGCAGGTCCACGTAATGAAATGTCCAATTTGTCATCAAGCTAAATTGTATAGACTGTGGGCAACAAAGCACATGATGAAACGTGGCCCCGATCTGTTGCTTTATGTGTATGAATTGATGGC